ATTCACTGAAGGCCTTTTATAAAAGAATAGATGAACTGTAGTCAGGTTGGAAACCTTTGGCCCAGATGCCAGTGGCATCTCAACTTTCTCTTCCAGAATATCTGACTCTGAGGAATTGTCTACTGTTTGGAAAGTATTTTTGGGGGCCTCATTGCCTACCTTGTACCGGAGCAAGAGCTGAGGAGAAGGTTTTTTATCCACAAATTCAAGACAGAATATCACATTCCTAAGAATAAGGGAGAAAGGAATGACATTATTCTGCACACAAGGAAATGGCAACTCATCCCCATCATGAGCTTATGAAATCTCACCTGGGTTTGAGTTTGCTGAGTAAAAGCTATACCTTGCTCCTGCAGGAAGGTATTAGGTTGGTCAGCTGCCAGTTCCTGGGGAATGAACCCTGTGAGATTATTTACATTGATCCCAGTTAATCAATTAATGTTTGTAAAGCGCTTTAAACTTGAAAAGCACTCCTATAAATATTCAGTATTATCATGTAATTACACTGCCACATCTCAATTAAATGCACAATTGGCTGTGCTTTAATCATGTAATTGAAGTGTCACCAGAAGTATTTAAAATGTAGGTATCTCAGTCTATGCTGACCATCCTCAAGACTCGTATGTAAACCTGGAGCAAAATTTGATTTTTGGAAACACTGGAGACCCACTGTCTGATCAGAATGAATGTCTCTTTCCTTAAAACAGAAATACATTTTTTCCACAACTACAAATATAGGTAATTTTTTGCTTCTATTTGTCTTTCATCTTGAACACTTCTTGTGGGCAGCGCAAGGACTAACCTGCTTTTCCATTTGTTTTTTACTTTACTGCCTTCCCTCATTAATATAATGGAAAAAGAATGTCACTTGTGATCTTGTCTCAGATTCATATCCTTCGGGTTATGCTTTATCAATTGGCTGTATACTGTGCTGTGTGATGTACTGAAATAAATTAAAACAATTAAATGCTGAAGCATTCTTCACTTCCTCCAGAGGGTAAAAAAGACATTAAGCCTCAAATAACGATATATATGTTGCTATCTGATTATCAGCGATATAGGAATTATTGCTTCCTACTCCATTGTCTTCATTCTGAATAGTAAGCTTGTTTATATCAGCGCTGACATCCCAAGCAGTGGTCTGGCTTAAAAAAAAAAAAAAAGAGTAATTTTAAAATAATAAGGTTTGATATCGCTTTTTCATAGTATATTTTGTAGTCTTCTAACTGTAAAATCTTTAGGAAACTCAGTTACTTCTAAGCTTTTCTCCACAAACAGATGAGAGCTATGAAATTGTGGTGTTGGGGGGGGGGGGGGAATGGAGTTTTTTATTTGTTTTTTACTTTTTTAATGAAATCAGAAACTTTAATGGACTATCTTGATTTATTAGATGAAGTAGTTACTTTACTAGATGGCAGTATTGCTACCGTACTTCCCATTCCTCCTTTTTTTCCTCTCTTCCTCTGGTGCTCTACCTCTCACTTCTTCACTCCTTGTCATTTCTTTTCATGTCAATTAAATGCTCTTTGGGGAAATGGATAGGCAGTTTTTGTATATTGGTACAGCACCTGCACAAGACTGTAGTTGAGGCCTCTGGATGCAATCACAACCAAAATAACAACATTCACATCTGCTTTTTCAGATTCATTGGCATCAGTTTACCCTACAATGAACCTAAGATATTTTCCAATGCAGAGCTGTTATTACTTCTTCCTATATCTTTCTGGAATAACTGTATATAAGAGCCAAATCCTGGACTCACAGAAAAATGTGAGTTTCTACCAAACCAATACCAGAAGACCAAAATATAAAAACTCTTCAGGGCAGGAACTACCTCTGAGTGTGTCTGTGTAGCATTTGCTGACAATAGGACTCCAGTGAGGGTGTCTAAGATGCAATTACATAATGCATATATATATAAAATGGAATGTGTCATTACTGCAGTGTTAAGCTATATTTGGAAACCACAACAAGAAAAGCACCTTCTCCCATTTTTTTTTCTTCTTTCGATTTCACTAGGGGAAAAAAATGTCTTTGATATATGAAGCATTTTATGAGACCATCTTTTTATTTTAATAACTGCTAATTTGCACACCTAACATCAATTGCTGGTGCAATTAATTGTGGATGCAAATGAGAATGTTTAGCTGTCGAGTCACCTGATTGTGCCTATAAATCAGTGACAGTAATTACGTGTGTAAATGCTCATTTCAGCCTGCAATTAATTTGGCCAAAATTGATAGGACAGAAAAAAATACCACCCTAGGCTGAAATTTGGTCCCCAGTGTGTAAAAAGAGAAAGTATCTTCCTCCTCTGCCTCTTGTGTCTAAATTGCAGAGAGCTAAGTAGACAAAGAGCAATGATTCCCCAGTCCCCAATAACTCACTGCCACTGTTTCACAATAAAGTGCAATGGGAGAGGAAATATTTCCATAAGGGTTCATTAATCACAACATATTTGCCATGCACAACCACTCTGCAGAGCAGGTAAAGAACCCTAGGGGACGTTGCCTGGCACAGCATGTCATTTTCATAAATAGGGAAAGTATTTTTTGCACAAATGCTGTAGAACTGAAGTTGCAGATGGCTCCACTGGCAGAGCTAGAGCCTCCTGGCACAACCCTCGGCAGCCAAAGCTACTTTAGGAATTTATAGCAAGGGTTAGTGATATCTCAAAAGAAGGATGCTGAAGATGCTCTCTGCCCCCGCTGTGTGCAGTATTCCCAGGTGTGCCCCTTGGGAGGACACATGAGGCAAGGCAAACAAACCCCACCCAAAACTGCAGAAGGAAATCCAAGTCTTACCAGTCCCTGTTGTGCTGCAGCACACTAATGTGAGGTCTAGGAACAATTAAACTGATTGTGACTGAGAACCTGGGGGTCCAACGGACCCCATTAGCAGAACTGCGCAGCAAAAGATGCTTTTCCAGTTCAGTGACTTCTTTCAGATCTGGGTAGCAGGCCACTTCACTTTACCTAACCCTGAGGACACCGGAGAGCCCCTGTTATCCCATCATACTCTGACCCATCTAGACCTGCTCAGTGTTTGCACGAGAGGTAGGGTTGCTGTCTTGTTTACTGTACCTCTGTGGTCTCAGTCTCTGAGTGGTTCATTGCTGCTTCACTCCCACATGGGACTTTGATAAAATTCAAAGCCACCTGGTGTGATTTTAATTTAAATGTGAATTTAATGTGTTTTCCTTTTATATTGCTAGGATGTGTATTGTCAAGAGAAATGCTGCAGGCTCAGATCTGGGCTCTCGGCTGTTTTTCTGTGCTACTCCCTAGTTTTGTTTGATGCATGTTCCTGAGTAAAGCTGTTGCTCTGCAGTGGCGGGTGCATTGGGTGCAAGAGTTTACTGGGTACAAGCACAGCGGTCATTCTTCAAGGGGGCAGCTGAGGCTTGGGTTGTTTGCCAGTCAGAGGCCAAAAATCTCATCAGCAGAAGATACCTCCAGAGTTACAACTGAACAGAGGAGGGATGAAAGGTTGCATGCAGCCTATATAAAAAGAGGTTCCACAATTCACCATGTTCCACCAGTTATGAAAAGGGTTTTAAGACAAGGGCTTGCGAAAAGGAGGAGAAATACTAAAATGTTTTATCTTAACCAATTAAAACAATTCATATTGGAAGTGGTTAAAATTTACTAAAATTTTTCTTATTAGAAAATATAATCTCACTAAAAAAAAAAAAAGTGCTGTGAAAACATATGAAAAAGATCATAAGGATATGCTTTCAGGACCAGGATGTGAAAGATACAGTGAGAAAAAGAGAAGCAGAGATCCATATCAGTTAGTAGCCCAACAGGGCACTCCGGTAAGATGCAAGACACCCTGATGCAAGACAATATCTTAATCTTCAGAATTTCTCATTAAGTGAGACTTTTTTTTCAGCCAGCCTTAATTAGTTTTGAACTAAATTTGTAGGAGCAGGGTGGGAGCCTAGGATTTCTGACACAGAGTACCAGAGAGCAGATCAGAATAATAGAGCAGATCAAAGGCCACCCAGGGTGGTCATTGCGCTGTGACACGGGTGCGTTGCAGCAGACGGCCGCAGGCTCTGCAAGGGTCATGAAAATGTTATGGCAGCCAGGTGGCTTGGTGATCAGAAGACATCCCTTGCTTTCTAAAACGACTCATTGCTCCTGAACCCACTGAAATCTATTTAATTGGCTGGTCACCAGGTGTTTTTCCCCCCTGCTTGCACAGGCCACCAGAGCTGACACGTGCATTCTGACCGTTACTTTTCGCATCTGCTGGTTACTACTGCCAGCAGCAGCCGCCTGTTGGGCTTCTGGCTCCTGCTTCTTCTTACTGTTGCTGCTGCACGGGAGCTATCGTAGTGAGTCACTTCTAATCACCAAGGGAACCCACAGCCAGATCTCCGCTCCTCCTAAAATAGGAACTCACAGCTACATCTTCTCTCATCCTAAAATAGCCAAACTATGAGAAAAAGCACTATATATTTGGCAGCATCTGAAATATGATATTCAATGCATTAGACAGTTGGAAAAGCAAGGCAATGAGCTCGGCCATAGCAGGGCCCCAGGCTAAGACCACCCCAGGCTTGCAGTGCAGGTGGTCTTCCAAGCCCACATAGAGTCATGCAGAAAGGAGATAGTTTCTTTGCAGGTTCTGAGTAGAGACCATTGCAGAATCAGCTTTTATCCCCCCATTATTTGAAAAAACTCTGAGGGAGGCCATATAATCAACACATCCCCCTTATGTTTCAATTCAGAAAACTAGGTCCTTGAAAGGAATACTATTTAACAAATAAGACAATGCTAAGCTTTTAAAATGGTTTTATGAAGGCAAGGCTTGTCTTCAGTTTAGTTTACTCATCACATCAATTATTACAAATTGCAATACAATAATCCTTTTAAATAAATGTTCATTATTTTGAAGTACATTGAAAAAATGTTGGTTATTCTCAAGCGGAAGTGTTACCTGTAAAATATCATTCTGCACTTCTGTAACCTCTCTCTTTTATTTCTAGGTATTTCCGCACAATATACTTGGGTATCCGGAGTCGACGGAGTGGAGAGAATGACAGATGGAGGTTTTATTGGAAAATGGTGTATGAGTATGCAGATGTGAGTATGCTGCATTTGCTAGCCACGTTTCTGGAAAGTGCACCACAGCTGGTCCTGCAGCTCTGTATTGTTGTACAGACTCGTACACTTCAGGCTCTCCAAGGTAGGGGTTCATTTAATCTATTTGTTTTTTATCATTTTAGGAAGATGTAATTTCTATACATACATATTTATCCTTCTTTCAAACTGCTGTGTGCCTTGTACTCCTGGCATAAGAGCAGATCTTGCCTGCTAGCTGCTATTAAGCTGTTAACAATGACTCTGTCAAGAAAGCCTGTGTTGTTGGAGATTTTTAGCCTTTCTTATTGGCCCTGGGTTGTGGCTAGGATTTATAATGTTTTGCTTTCTGCATGTCCTTGTAATAGAAGAGCTCTTCTGATTATCCACTGGGCCAATGTGAAAATTGCATCAATCAAACTATTGCTCTTCTCCCTATGCTTCTTTCTGTAAATGTTCAAAACCCTCCAAACTGCAGTAATGAGGTTCATATGGTATTATGCAAAACAGAAAACAGCACAGCAGAAAACAGCTATTCTGTGAAGAAAATGCCAGTGTCTATGGAATACATGTCCATCAGTTCTCGGCCATGTTTACCTGAAATAATACAAGTCATCTCCTGAGCCCTACAACAATACTCATTCCTTCAAGCTCTGGGTTTCCTTCTAAGGTTGATGCTTTCAGCAAGCATGATTACTTCTTTAAAATGGTAAATGCATGCATATGTCCTGCCATAGGGTTTTGTCAGTCAGCAATACAGATATAAGAATATCTCCTTCTCTACTGCTTTTTTGGTGCTATTTCTGGCTACCTGACAGCTTTCCTTTTGTATTGCACCGTTGTTTTGCCTTATGGCTGCACCTGGGCAGAAATTATTAGTAAGGGAATGACGTGAATGAGAACTTGGGATCCAGAAGGTGACACAAACATCATGAGGTGGTGAGGAGTGAAGGGAGGAGGAGGAGCGGAGGGACAGAGGGAGGAAGGAAATGCAGCATTTTTGCCATTTGTTTTTAAGAAACAACTCAAGTGCTTGCCACTGTACAAGATAAATCTGTGACATCACCTTGCTCCAAGAAGCTCTGGGTCTAGTTAGCTTATTATGAGTAACATGCAGTGAGACTGAGTGGGTGAAAAAGGACTGGGAACAAAGCGGGTAACTGTGTGAAGACCTCGATCCTGGGCAGTTTCCTGTGGATAAATCAGAGGCTTTTCATTTACCTCCCCTTTGAACTGATGTCTAACAACAGCTGCCCTGCTTCCTGTGGTTTTTGGTTTTGCTTCTTTAGATCTAAAACTCTGTCACCTTAAGGGGAAAAGAAAGCCAAAGTTCCTATTTTAATTAGTTGGTGCTCTGTACAAGGAAGGTTGCCTAAGCACTTCCTAGAGCTATTTCTCAAAATGATGCTGCCCCACACTAACCAGTCCAAACTATTATAATTCAGGAGAAGGTCTTATCACGTCAAGAAGCTTTGTCCCCCCAGAAAAAGAGACTCCAGAGAGAGACTTAGGAGAAGAACATAGCCAGAATACTGTATGGTCAGCTGTAGTTTAGCTATCTTCATAAACTATTAATACAGAAGGCGTCTCACCCTCATTTTAGTGCAATAACAGATCTGTCTATGAGAAACCTGGCTGGTGAGTAGGCACTGAGCCTGTGATGTACTCTGCAAGTGGTTGTTAATTAGAGAAAACCTAAAATGCTTCTATTTAAAAGGCAAAGATGGTTCCTGAAGCCTGCAATCAGCTCTGTGAAATCTATGTATCAGAAACCAGAAAGGAATAAAACTATAATTATGGATTTCAGCTGAGAAGGCTGAAAATATTTACTTATCCTCTCTTCCCCCATTTTCTTCCATCGTCCAAGGATAAAAGGCTCCATTTAAAAAAAAAAACTAAGAAAATTAAACAAGGTTGTAGCATTTTCTTAAACAGTAGTACCATTATATTCTCCTGATGAAAGCTAATATGTTTTAGTACATTGCCAGCTGTGAAAATCCTTTTTCTGTTCTCTCTCCTTTTTTAAAGAAATGTTAAGGATAATGCGTTGCACTATAGGATGGTAGATTTGCTGTGAGGCTACATAAGAAGAGCATAATTTCTCTCAGTGGTATCATGCTACAACTGGGTGTTTTAAAAGGCCTAACCATAAGGTATATGCTTCAGCTAGCTGTCCGCTCACTGAGCCTGTTATAGAGATTTCTAACATGGATCAATAAACAGTGTTTGATTGATTTTCTTTGTTTAGAGAATGCTACTTGGTTTTTATTATTGTTCTTTAAGTTCTCTATCCCGCAGGACAAAGTTATCATGACAACTGATAAGTGCCATCGCCGGTCCATGTTCTTATATTTCCATCACAAACCACAAATTTGGCATGGGAAGTCAATGATACTGGAAATGTCTTGGCCTATAAGCAGAGTATTTCTAATATCAAGCCATTAATGACCACAAGAAAAACTGTTAAATATTTTATTTATGAAACTGTATATTTTCCATTCCAAATGCACCAAAGTAGCATCATTCCCAACAGGAGAATGCTGTCATGTGACTGAAGATTCCCCGTTTTGTAATGGGTGTTGGCTAGGTGTGGATTATTTCTTATTTCAGTCCTTAAGCACTGCTAATCAAGGTAAGGAATACACAGAGGCATGTACATACGTCCTTATGAAGATCAAAAAAAATATTGTGCAATGTGTGCAAAACCTTCCCTCTCAGTCTTTCATACATTGCAGTGAGGGCCACTTCAAAAGCCCAGAGGATGCACCACAAGGATCCTTTAGGACTTGCCTGGGGTCCCCAAGCATGAATTAAAAAACTGCAATGTAAACTTTTAGCAAGGATTGTGCACCACTGTACCATGACTGCTGCAGCAGAACGCTGCTTATGCGGGAGTCCATAGACAGTCATTATGGAGTGGCATCTCTCTTCTGTGTTGGCACCCAGAGAATCTGAGTATTGATAAAACAGTATCTAAATTATCTAAAAATCTGATTCTTCTTTAAGATTTCATCAAAATTGGCACAACTAGAGGCAATGATGTTTCTTATTCTGCATACAACCAGCAGCCAGGTCCCTCCCAGAGTGGAAGGAGTGAAATGGCTTATGGGGGAAGCTGATGATTTCTCAGTGCTAATTCCTCAAGAAGACAACTTCAGTATGATGCTGGACTAAGCTAGAGCTGTGCTAACCCCCCTATTACCTCCACCTTTTCCACCCTGGTGGTTCCTTTGAGTCTGAGGAATTATCTACTCTCTAGAAGACAGATGTGCCTTGAAAATAAGTAATTCCTCAGTCTTTTCCTCATGGGAGTCTGTTTCCCTTCCTTTCTGTTCATGTGCTCTGAGCACAGCACTCCCATAGCAACTGCTGAGCCAGCTGCACCTCCAAACTCTATTGCTTTTGTTTGTTTTTTTTTTTTCTCCTCTCTCGTAGTTACTCTGTAGAAAAGTCATCTCCTAAGCAGCTTCATGGTGAGAGTCACTAGCTTCACCAGTCCTATTCTAGGTGGGAACTGTATGAGGAATGGGGCAGCTCTGCATGTCGGGGGAGCAATGGTGGAAAGTCCACTGAAATAACTGATGCTCATCCGGCATCCATCTGTTTGCATAAGGGCATATATGTGGACAGAAGTGTCTGAACCATCTGCAGGTGAGCTAGTTCAGCTACCAGAAACAGTCTAACAGCAATAGCCTGGAGGCCAGGGTGGGCTAACTGATCTCAGTGCTAGCCTACATACACCAACCGCCTGAAACTCCTTGTGGACCTGGGCCCTTCGCCCTGTGTTTTCAGTTCTGCTCTGAGGGCTGGGCAACCAGGTCCTGTACTGGATCTACCTCTGAGTCACAGGGAACCGAAATACCAGAGTTAAAAGTGTTTGGATTATTGAATTACCCCAATAAATTCAGAAGGCTGCAAGTAATACCCTCCTCCCTTCAAGCCATTTAGTAAATAAGCAGTATTTTCACAGTCTTTGCTGTAAAAACTAACACTTCCACAATAAACTGCCATAGACTAAGTATTAGGCAGATTTGCTGGCACAGTAAGATCAGTCTAAAGGCTACGAGACTCTTCCTTGGTGTCGTGATTTAACCCGAGCCAGCAGCTAAGCACCACACAGCCGCTCGCTCACTCACCCCCGGTGGCATGGAGGAGAGAATCAGAAGAGTAAAAGTGAGAAAAGTCATGGGTTGAGGTAAAGACAGTTTAATGGGTAAAGCAAAAGCTGCGCACACAAGCAAAGCAAAGCAAGGAATTCATTCACTACTTCCCATCGGCAGGCAGGTGTTCAGCCATCCCCAGGAAAGCAGGGCTCCATCACGCATAACAGTTACTTGGGAAGACAAACGCCATCACGCCGAACGTCCCCCCCTTCCTTCTTCTCCCCCAGTTTGTACTGAGCATGACATCATATGGTATGGCATAGCCCTCTGGCCAGTCTGGGTCAGCTGTCCCGGCTGCGCTCCCTCCCAGCGTCCTGTGCCCCTGGCAGAGCATGAAAAGCTGAAAAGTCCTTGACCAGTGTAAGCACTACTCAGCAACAACCAAAACATCAGTGTGTTATCAACATTATTCTCATTCTAAATCCAAACCACAGCACTATACCAGCTACTAGGAAGAAAATTAACTCTATCCCAGCTGAAACCAGGACACTTGGTTGGGTCTCTGGACATCCAGCATAATGGTCACATCTCAATACCTTTGCTCTGCTGGCTCAACAGGTCTTAGGGCTGACAAAGTGATAGACAGACCTGGACTGGCAAATTGGCTCAGAGGGGTTATTCCACAATAATTTGAAGTCAACCTACCTGCAAGGTTGCCCTTGAAAATCTTTGATTTAATCATGGAAAGTCCTGCCAGCGCCTCACCCAAGCTGCATGTTCCCGTCGCGTCACTGGCATTC